GCTCCAAGATCTCTTTGCCACAGGCGGTTTCAAACTTCATAAATGGGACTCTAACTCTACTGAAGTGTTGAACTCTATTCCGCCAGAAATTCGAAGCAACCAAACTACATCTAAGTTAGGAGATTCAGACAACTTCGTTAAGACACTTGGCATAGAATACAACTCAAATCAAGATTGTTTTCGATTTTCTACTGCTGAGCTCTCTGTTGATCAGTCCCACCTTACCAAACGCAACGTATTATCTGATTCTTCAAAGATCTTCGACCCACTTAGTCTTATCTCGTGTGTCACGATTGTTGTGAAAATAATTTTCCAACAGCTATGGAAACAAAGCATCGATTGGGATGAGCCATTGCCACCGGACGTGCAGAGAAAGTTTGTTTGAACTGTCCAACTTAAGAATCCCTCGCTGCTATACGCCAATACATTTCCAGATTGTTGATCAACAGCTTATTGGTTTTTCTGACGCCAGTGAAAAGGCTTATTGTGGTACTGTTTATTTGAGAAGCACTAACGCAACAGGTGAAGTTCACATATCTCTTGTCATGGCTAAAACACGCATTGCACCAATCAAGAAAGTTTCCCTACCTCGTCTCGAACTTTGCGGAGCTCTTTTACTTGCGCAGATGATGAGACATCTTCAAGAAATCCTTTCCATTCCATTGTTGAATTTACATGCCTTCACAGACAGCTCAATCGTTCTTTACTGGATCTATGGCACTAGCCAGCGGTTTAAAACTTTTGAAGCTAATCGAATTGCAAAGATACAAGATCTGATACCACCTCAAAGATGGAAACACGTTGATGGTTTACAAAATCCAGCAGACGTCGGATCTCGTGGTATATTAGCAAAGGAAATTAAAGAACACCCCCTGTGGTGGACTGGTCCAGATTGGCTTAAGCAAAATCAGTCGAATTGGCCATCGAAATTTACTGCACCTCCTTCACTGGAAGCTCTCCAATCGCTGGGTGTCACGAAAGACTGCTTACAACTAAAAGAGAAAGAAGAAGTTACTCTGCAAACAACGACAGATACAGCCTCGACGGAGCCTGTGATTGACATTACTCTATATTCCAGTTACATTCAACTCGTGAGAGTTACTGCTTGGGTATTTCGCGTAGTCACCCGTTCAAACCTATTCAGTTCTACACCACTAGCAGTGTCTGAACTATCCAAAGCTAAAACTTGGTTGATTAAACAAGCCCAAGCTCAAATGTTCCCAAACACTATCAAATTGTTAAAAAAGAAAAACCCATCACCATTGTCGGATCCTTTGCAATCATTGAATGCCTTCTTGGATAAAGACGGATTATTAAGAGTTGGTGGTCGTCTTTCGCAGTCAATGAAAGATTACGAATCTCAGCATCCACTGGTCCTTCATGGAAAGCATTATCTGTCAACCTTGATCATACAAAGCGAACATAAACGATTGTGTCATGCTGGTCCAAAGCTTAGTTTAGGATCTCTTCAGGATACCTATCACATCATTAGTGCACGTAGAGTCGTTCGTAAGTTGATACGTGAGTGTGTAGTGTGCAAGTGAGCATCTCCAAAGATAACAACTCAACTGATGGGTCAACTTCCGTCAGCACGTGTTTTGCCCACCTTTGCCAATGAGAGAGTCTCAGTAGACTATGCTGGACCGTTTACACTAAAGATAGGATCAGTTCGAAAGCCAACGTATCGTAAAGCCTATGTAGCAGTTTTTGTTTGCCTCGTAACCAAGTCGTGTCACATCGAATTAGTATCAGACCTCTCGGCGGAAGCATTCCTTGCCACACTTCGACGCTTTGTTTCTCGAAGAGGAAAACCCATGCAGATTTGGAGCGATAACGCGACTTGTTTTCGACGTACGGTCGGTACGGATAAAGATTTAAGGGAACTTTATCGACTACTTCAAAGACCAGATATCAAAGAATCTGTTATGAACTTTTGTTCGTTCCAAGGCATCCAGTGGAAGTTTAGCCCACCCACCGGTCCTCATCATGGTTCTGTTTGGGAGAACGGGGTAAAGTCTTGTAAACGGCACTTGAAGCGAATAGTTGGGGAAACCAAACTAAACTTCGAAGAAATGACAACCACCCTCTGCCAAATCGAAGCCTGTCTCAACTCTCGTCCACTGATACCTTCTCTTGATACAAATGATGATGATGGAATATCTCCACTTACCCCTGGACATTTTCTAATTGGACGTCCTTTAGAAGCTCTACCTAGCCGCATTTATAAAGAGCCCATTCTTGGTTTAAAAAGATGGAAACTCTGTCAAGCATTGACGCAACATTTCTGGAAACGATGGTCTGCTGAATATCTCAATGGCTTACAACGATTTAACAAGTGGAAAGTTCCAAAACGAAATCTTCAACTAGATGATATTGTCCTCGTTAAAGACAATCGTACACCAACTTGTCAATGGCCTCTTGCTCGAGTCACAAAGGTTCATCCTGGTCCAGATAAACTTGTTCGAGTCGTTACTGTACAAACGAAGACTGGCACCTTCATCCGACCGATTGTGAAGTTATGTTTACTTCTACCAGCGAAGGAAGTGCCGAAGAAAGATGATGAAATGAAGTGAAGTAATGAACAATGAACGAACATAAGTTTGAACAGATAAGTTTTAGATATATGTTTATATTATTTCATGACATTCTTGTGTTGATCCAATCAAGGTCGGCGGAATGGACACGCGTTATATGTCTTACATAAAGTTTTTAGCATAATTTAGCAAGCGCATGCGCAGTAAGCATGCTCTTAAGAACACATGTTTTGTAGGAAAAGAAAATATAAGTTTTACCTCGGTTACTCGCTGTTTTTCTTGGGTAAAACAAAGGACTGCTAGCTAGGCAGTTAAAAGCAAGTAAACAATCGCATCTAGGTATTCTGGTAATTGCACAAATTTATGGACTAAAATGTTTCAATTATAGTAGATCGGGATCTATTGGGGACCTGTTTATATGATCTAGACTATCCAGAACACATGCTTGAAGCCTAATTCATCTTGCCTGTTTGGTATACAGTGCTTATTGATCCTTATTGTATATGGTGAATTTCTTGGCTTACATATAGCCAGGATTCTGGCAATGGAAACCTCACGCTTAGCTAGGCCGATAGTAGCAGGACAGGATAGAACATACTGGCAAATGTCGTCTCCCACCTAGCCAGGTAATACGAACAGGGCCCAATTGTGACAAGTGAGCCAGATGAAGTAAAAAAACAATGAAGTTCATATACAGGTATATATCCATAAATTTTGATACCTGAACAGCAACATTGAACAAAATCATTCTGTCCCAATGTCATCCATCTTCCTTAAGTTTAGGACTCTGAGACCAATGAATATATTGTCAATCAAGGATTAAAACCAATGAAGACAAGTGTTATTGTCAAACAAACGAAAATATTCATGTCCACAGGGTGCAACACGCAATGTTGAACACATTATTTTGAAGACACATTATTTTTGAAGACACATTATTTTTTTTTTATTATTTTTGAAGACACATTATTTTGAAGTCGACTAAGCTCGACTAAATGTCGAAATTGACGAAAAACGAGCCAAAAAACAGTTATTGAGCTAATCAATCAAATAAATTCTTGGCATAAGTTTGACGGTCCATAGTCCAAATATTTGATGAGCTTCTTTATCCCATTTATACCAACAAAATTTTAAAAATTCCCTGTATTTAGATATTCGCCATATTGATCGCCACGCTGTTTGGCAAGAAATTGACATGTCAACTTGTCCTGGCCCGGAAATGTCCTGTTTACTTGTACACAGGATATTAATAAGTTAATGTGAAAATATGAAGATAAAAGTATCTTTTAAAAAATAAAACGTCTCAAACCTTGATTTGAAAGGCTTTTAAAAACGCTAATCCGTTCGGAACCTACAAATTCGAGGGGTGGTATTTAAGCTTGCGCAAGGCAAAGTTTGAAGACCCATATCTTCGCAATCACGCAATTAATCAAAAATCGCCACGAGGAAGTTGAGGAGAATTCTTTTAAGAACAACATATATGAATTTCATGGCAAAAAAACAAAAAAAACGCTTGCAGAAAAGCTCTGAAGTAACCCCATATGTTTGTTTACAAATTTCATGTGATGAAGCGTTTTACGCATTTTGATTGGCTTAGGGCAAAAATGTAAACAATAGCAATGTCAAGAAGCAATGTCAAGAAAAACGATTTCAGGATTACAATGCAAGGGATGTTACACCAAGCAACATGTTCCATGCAACTTGCAATGATCATAATTAAAAATAGTATAAAAACCGTGAGTGCTAACGTTTGGCGCCATATTGTCAGTCAAAAGTCAATATGAAACCACTCAGTTGCAGGAAGGATGTGCAAATTGTGTTGCAACAAAATTGCGAGACAAATTGCATAGTGTAACAGCGCCTTATAACAACAATTTGAAAGCTGATCTTCTAATTACTTAGGCTACACAATTTTTTACACCAGTATACTTGTCCCATTACTTATTTTACACCAAAAAATGATGATTTAAATTATATAAAGTTATGAACCATAAAAACGCTGGCAGGGGGGTGGGGGTCGGACAAAAGTGCGAATCACTTTGGGGGAGGGTCAGGAAAAAATAGCATGGTATATTTCATTTTCACCAGCCCTCTCCCCTCTCCCCTCTATAATTAATGACCGGTCCCTAAATGGGTTAATTATTTCTTCCCTAAATTTCTTCCTTAAACAGACATCGACAAAAACCACCCATCTATCTATATTTATTGTAACAGGAAAAAGCGTACACAACCAACGAATTGAACGACTCTGGAGAGATGTTTTTGGTGGATGCCTTAGTCTATTTTATGAGCTTTTTTACGACCTAGAATATCACGGAATGTTAAATCCTGATGACGAGTCACACATGTGGTGTCTGCATTATGTGTTCATTCCCATTATTAACAGGCACTTAAAGAACTGGAGAGCAGCATATGTACAACATTCTCTAAGGACAGAACACAATAAAACTCCAATGCAACTGTGGATTTCTGGACTTAGTGAAGCATGGGATTCCTTCCATGCAGAAGATTTATATTTGCAGGTAGAATTACAATCTTTTGACTTTGGTGAAACTTTGGTTTGCAGGCACAGGATAACATTCACCCAACCCATTAATTGGCAGTACTCTTTCACTGATTGCCTGGCATTACACAGTCATGCAAGCCAGTATCTTTCCTCACATACTAAAATACTAAAGTAGGTGCGTTCAGGCGCACCAGCAGTCAATTTTTATTATGGGATATCATGCTAAACACTCACATCATTGCGATGTTGTAGGGAGACTTCACAAACTATGGTATTGATTGGGAAGGTCCTATTCCAGAAATGACTCCTGATGTGGTTGAAGTTCCAGTAACCAATTGTCCTTTATCAGAAGTCCAAGCAAATATGTTACCAACAGTAACCAATCTAAGTTATCCTGAAGCAGTGCAAGTATTTAACGACATTGTCAACTTGTTACCAAACAATTAATTTATAATTTTGCAGCTGTTTATATTTGAATTACAGTACCAGTACTATACACATGGATAGCTTAATATCATTTTTGTCTACAACAAATTTTTGCCAGAAAACATGACTGGGCACACAATTACAGTATCCGTAAACTCTTCCTCATTCCCTAAATGTATTGAAGATCGACGTTGCCTTTGAAAATGCACATCCAACCGACGCAAACTCGAATTCTCTAATACAGTATAAATAGTTGGCGCACAAATTTGAAATTTTCTAGTCCATCTAATGCGATTTCTTGCATATTCGGGTGCGATTTTGTGGAATTCCGACATTCCTCATGAACAATCCACGCTTTACGCGATCTGTCGACGGGGGGTAACACGTGCGCGCGCGAGACAATTTTTCGGACAAACAAACCAGCAAAGTATAAGCTTTTATAAAGTACGTGTCCGAATTTTTGATGGTTAAAAGGTGTGCTTGGGGCACTTGTAAAAGCGATAGTCGCTATCCAGAAAGATTAAAAACAGAAGATGGTAAAATAATAAAATTCCACAGTTTTCCATCGGCAAAAAAGTTTAAAGAACGAAGGGAAAAATGGATTCGGGCATGCTGTCGTGGTGATGCTTTCGAATGTAAGAAGGACAGCTATATTTGAAGTCTTCACTTTCTTGGCCAACAAGGACCAACAAAGGAGAATCCAATTCCTTTTCCAGCCAATGCTAACAAAGAAAAGGTATTGTATTTTAAATATTCTGAACGAGATTTGAAATTTGACTGTTCGAAAATCGAAATATACTTGTTTAAAACCGTATTAATACTGTATACAGATTGTGAGACTGAGCCGAAAGAGAAAATCGCCAACCAAGCGAAGTCAAACAACCAAACGAATCCGCAAATCAGACGAAAGTTCAGCTGCAGATGTGTTGTTGATGCTACTTAATGGTCCTGTAAAGAGCAGTAATGATGTTTCTGTTGCCAAATCGATGTATAACGATGAAAGGCAACTGGAGTCAGAGCCTGCCTGTCATACAACTGAAAATTGTCCTACAACTGAAAATTGTTCTACAACTGAAAACTGTTCTACCACTATTCCACAACATGTCAGCGATGAAGCTCAGGTAAACATATTTGTTTTCAACTCTTGGGAGCTAGTAAATTGCGTGTATAATTATTTGTATTTAATATGTGTCTTCAATAGACAACCATTGAGATGTGTCACCTGAGTCCTTACACAGATTTATTACTGTCAGATAAAGAGAATCTGAGAAGGTCATTGTTTGTTGAAACTGTAATGGATCCTAAAAAAACTCACCATTATACTGGTAAGTTCGAACTTTGAAGTCTGAATGCTACAGCCCATTTTGGGCCTGTTTACATGGAGGTTGAGTAACCCAAGTAGTGAGGTTACCCCACTAACAGGGTCAAGAAGGGTCACCCTACCACTAGGGTTATGTTGCACTGATAGGGTAACCCTACCTATGCATGGTAACTAAGCTGGTTGTATTTAAAAATGCAAGTGAGCATGAACTTTTGGGCGGCAAGTTGTATACATTTGTGTACACATTTTTGCTCAGTGTTGCATTCCTAAAATAACACATGACCCGCTTGCTAGGGTAAACATACCTGACACGTTTACATGGCTTATGTAAACAACATAGGGTCACTATATTTGATAGGGTTACCCTACCCTAGGGTAATCCTAGCACGTATGTAAACACACACTATAAAACACATTAGACTAGGGTCCGTAACTCTGCTGCTAGGGTAACTCTGCTGCTAGGGTCACCCTACCTCCATGTAAACAGGCCCTTAGTGTTCATATGTATCAAATGTTAATTACATGGCTCTTTGGCAGGTCTTGAAAAGCAAGTGTTCCTTGCTCTGTTTGAATTGATTAAAGAAAAGGCATCCATGCTATACACATGGAAAGGGAAAAGAATGACAAGAAACAATAGTGAAAAAAATCACTATTTAAAGGTGATTAAAATATGATTTGGGGAATATTATTTACAATATAAAATCTCAGTCCCTCCACTCCCTCACCTCGATTACTTTTTCATTTCAGCATAAATATTCTTTCAATAAACTAACAGTTATGGAGCAAATGATCATGGTCCTTGTACGGTTGCGACGTTTACCAAGCATAATTATGCTCGCTGACATTTTTGGCATATCAATAGGTACTGCTAGCAGGATTTTTATGTCATGGATTTTGTTTCTGAAAGAAGAACTTGTGTTCTTGCTTCCATTCTCAAGTGTTGAAGAAATGTCAGGTCTTCCGATTCCCAAGCCCTTTCAACATATTTGCAACATCCGTGGGATTATTGATTGCACGGAATTCTACATTGAAAAGCCATTTAGAGTAGCTTCGCAGAGGTCCACCTACAGTTCATACAAGTCAAGAAATACATTTAAAGCATTCATTTCAATATCCCCACTCCTGCATATTAACTTTATCTCCAAGCTTTACACTGGAAGCGTCAGTGACAAAGAGATTACTAGACAATGTGGTTTCCTTCAACTGTTAAACCCAGGTGATGTAATTATGGCAGACAAAGGGTTTAATATACAAGACTTATTAGCAATACATCATACAAGGCTACTTGCACCACCCATAATGAAAAAAGGCTGTATTAATGCCAAATCATCAATAGCAACGAGAAGAATAGCGAAGGCAAGAGTTCATGTGGAACGCATAATAAGAAAGCTTAAATGCTTCTGCTTTCTAAGAGGCACCATCCCATTGTCATTTAAACCATATTTAAATTCTGTTCTCAAAGTGTGTGCTGCTCTAGTAAATTTGCAGCCAGCAATCATTCAAAACAAGACAGATGATGATGATGGGCTGAGTTTCATGAACAGCAGTGATGATGAGTGTGATGATGATGAGTGTGATGAAGATGATGATGTATGTGATGATGATAATGAATGTGCATGATGGTGATGATGATGAATGACAGCAAAAACTAATGTATTTTATACTTGACTTTTATATGTGAGGGGACACAGGAAAAGGGACCTATAAAGAATTTAAACAATTCTGATAAATCATGAGATTATTCAGAATCAATGTTGAAAGTGAAATTGTTTTTAATACAGAACTAATATGAAGCCGGGCGCCTCGTTTAAGTGGGCCAGCCCAGCAAACCAGGCTCATGTAAACAGCAGCTAAGTTATAAATATAGCCCTGCCCCTAATGTATCAGAATTGATTAAATTCTTTCTAGGTCCCTTTTCCTGTGCCTCGATCCCCACATATGTAATAATGTTTAATATTAACATCCTTGTGTGTGCTTCTGATTTTGAAAAGTGTTCAGCAAAAATGTCCTTGTTTCAGTGCGTGTTTTCTCAGCATCTGCATGTTTGAACCATTTGTGCTCTTTAGCACAATATTCCTCTGGTCCTGACTCATACATGTCCAAGTCCTTAAAGCAAATTAGGAAGGAATGGTGTTTACTTTCTTGAACTTCTATTTGGGTTGGTAAAGTTATTCAATTTCTTAAAATCGTTTGAGACCAAACTGACATAATATATAAGTTACCTGAATAAAGTACTTCAGAAACTTTGCAATGTAAATACCACAATTGTTGCTATAAGGATGTTGTTGAGGGACCTAGAAACATTCATAAGTGATACTAATTTTTCTTTGGCAAATAAATAAACATTTACTTATTGAATGTATACCTTTAAAACCTTGACTTCCATATTTTGGTGTTTCTTCGGAAGTGAATGTTTTCCAGTCAGGTAAATAAGGTAACTATAAAATAAAATTACAAACAAGATATAGACATGAAATGTATAAACAAGCAAATTAATAAGCCATTACACCCACTTACTTTAAAATCAGACTAATTTCAATTTTTCTGGTTGAAACATCCCAGGTGAGAGAATCCATGATAATTACCTGTTGAGAAGTCACATAATAGACAATATATTTAACAATTAGGTTTTTATTTCATTCAAAGAAATCAGTCATGAAGCCATTAAAAACAAATCAACAGCTCATTACCATGGGGTCAAGGTAACTAATAACCAATGGTACCTACACAAAATAATGGAGCAAAAAACAATTATATTAGTACATATACTACACAGCCAAAAATGCCCCAATTGCAACAAGCTTGTTGACAACTTGCATCAGGCATCTGATGCAAGTTGTCAACAAGCTTGTTGCAAGTTGTTGAGAACAGACTTCAGTGAACAAGCTCGATGCAAGTTGATTCATCAACTTGCAACAAGTCTGCAAATGATATTAGTTGCAACAAGCTTGATTTTAAAAGGCTTGTTGCAACTTGTCGACAATTTGCAACAAGCTTGTCAATTTCATCAACTTGCAAGAAGCCTGTGGTTTTTGGTTGTGTATAGTTGTTGGCATATATATCACAACATTTAATATTGATATACCTTCTGTTTATGGGAATAAATATGTATTCATCCAACAGCAAATGTGGCCCAAAAAACATCTCAGCAGTACTGTTTCTTTCATATCTGTGCAGTAAAACATAAATAATGTAAGGTTAGCAATTATTTGTCTAATAATTTAATCTGTTAAGCACTGGAAAAGGAACCAAGAAAGTTTTATACCTAGAAGGTTTCTTCTTTGCTTGTTCACCAGACAATGTGGTGAAAAAGAACGTACTGATGACAGGGTAAATGCATTTTTCTTGTCTGAAATTAGAAGACCAAAATATAGCATGGACAGGAGCATTGGAACCTTTCAAATATTGGGGGGGGGGGAATCAGGCGCCGAGCGAAAAATGTTTTAACTTTAGCAGTCTCTAGACAGCCAGAAATGGCCGTTTGCAGGGCCGTCGCTACAACGTTAA